ATCTGATAACTCAAACATCATATGTTTCATCGAGTTGTGGACGCTGGACGGTGGCTAGGACGTGAATTAGCTTGTAGTGACATCAGGCTTGCAAAGCATCCGTCGCACCCTCTCCTCCCATCGTGAAACAGAGTCGAGACGACCGGAAGCGGACTCGGACACAGGGGTTGACCAAGTTTAACAGCCCATCTATGGGTGCACAAACGATCTGGTGACCGCAGAAAGGGCCAGGTGCTCACGCAAAAAGGCCGCTCGGATCTCAGGTGCGTGAGAGTACCACATCAAGGAGGAATCACTGGGCTTGGCCCCCAGTTCACTGGTCAGCCGCTTCATACAGTACTGACCACAAGCATCAAGTCACGCGCTTGGCAACGTTCCAAGCTACCACGTTTGAAAAGTCGTGATATTTTAAAAACAAATTATAACTACAATAGTTATGAATGCGCTGAAATGCCGTGGGATAGTCTCCAACGGGTCGACCTAACTGTCCCCTACCTCACTCTTGCATCAGTCCGCTGCGTGAAGCGGTCAGGCAGCTAGTATTTTGATTGGTCGTGAAGCGCCCCAAATAACCTATCACCGTTGTTTCTCTAAAACTCCCTTCCCTAGGCCAGTTGGAAGCATACGCGTGTAGACTGCAGAGACAGCACAAGCAAAGCTAGGAGTGCGCATAACAAAGGCGGTGTAAAGAGTATATCGGAAGTCTGATAACAGTAGGTGTCATGCAAAAGGGATCAGAAAGATAAGCTACCCAGATAAGGCACTTTACGCTAGAAGGCGTGAACCGTGGCTCTTAAGTTTGATTCGGCAAAATTGTCTTGTGGGGCCGTCTAACTATCTATTCCCACGCCCAACTGTCTTGCGTAATTTGTGTTTAAACGCGTAATTCTTGGTTAGCGAGTGTAAATGAATATTTAATTGTGTCGGAAGTGATCAAAAATATTAAATTAAAGAAGCCTATATTTTTTTTCAATGTACTAAATAGGATAAAGTCCATCGACATAAACTCCCGTTGCTCATGATACTGATGCCAATTGAGGGGAATTCACTTTATATTGGCGGAACTTAAAAAAGGAAAATCGACCTTATATTGGCAGAATTCGACGCAAAAAAAGGAAAGTCGGGTTACTGAAAATGGAAAAGTAGGTTATTGTTATAAGCCAAAGGCAAATAGGACCTCTTAAGGCAGTTCTACTGGTGATTCTTACCTCTCGCCCAGCAGGAGAATCAGGTAGTCCGAAGTGAGCACGTTTTCCAGACAAGCGCGCAGAGCATCAGGAGTTCGCGTGGCTGATTCGGGAACCCCCCAGCGCAGATCAATCTCATTCAGGTGGACAGGAAAGTCGAGTTTTGAGAGCTGCTTCCTGAGAGCTGGAAAGACTAGACCCGAGATGAGGTCACGCTCGCCGCTCATATCTCGGAAGGTGGAGGACACAAAGACGCGGACAGATGCTTGTCTAATTGAAGCGGGAAAGGATCCAACCAAAAAACATATATGAGGTATTAATGAAGAAAAGCGAGACGAAACATTGTCGAGCATAATAAGGAGCGGCTGAAGACAGTAGCATAACGAAAAGAAAATAAGAAGGAAAAAGGAGACACAATCGGCTAACTAGGTGAATGATTGTAGGCAAACTTACTGGAATTCAGGAAGTTCGATGCTGAATCTGTGCTGTGGCGAAGTGTACACCGATGGACAACGTTGGATGGGTAGATCTTTGATGAGGTTAAACCGACGATCTATGCTATCTACATGCCTCACAAGTGCCTGGTTGCCTACCGTGGCAAGAAACTGAAGAATTTGATCAGAGTATCCCGGCAAGAGAATCCAGTCCTTCTCATTGCCTAATCTAAGAAGTAACCGAGGGAAGGGAAGCGGGGAATTAAATCTCGAGCAAAATTTTAAAAAAATAGTTATTGTGTAATGACAACGGCAGTCCTATAGGGCAGACACAATGGGATAAGGTTGGAAACAGCATGTAGTCTTTCCTTCTTTTTATACCAGTGGAAAAGTTGTCAACTAAAGCATAACATCGGCAATAAGTTGAGGCAAATCGAACCTTCATTTGGGGAGAGCCCGGAAAAATGAATGGAAAGCTAGTTACAACCATTTTGTTTCTCCGAGGACTCCTCGAGGCGATAGCTATAAATAGACCCAAGCCTCATCCTTTGGGGCGGGCTTTCGAATTTGAGCTGCCGGTTTTTTTTGCTCTCCATTCACGTGG